TTATCTGCTACTCCACTGAGCCTATTTGCTTTGGCCTTTTTTTTTTTTGTTTCAGTTGCTGTGTCCCTTAAGGGTTTTCCAAGTTATAGACATTATGAGATGTTTCTATTGATTATACCTATCAGTATGTATTCAAGAGTCAAACATAGTTCCTGCAAAAACTTTAAAGTGTTGTTCACCAGTAAACATCTCTAATCAAATTCTGCACTCACCAGTCCTTTTTGTTTGTCTAGCCATATTTAGCCCTGCTTATTTACTCCAGTGATAAAGGCTGTTTTTTAAGAGGACATCTTCTATATTTGGTATCTGTTATTACATTTCTTCCAGATACAGTTACCAGGTGCTATGTATAGGAGTAATCTTCAGAGCAGGCACTCGAGGAAACATACTTTGTTTTTTTTTTTTATATAACGTCAAGAAATAATGGTATCACTTAACTACTTCCATAAGATAAGTGGGTTAATTAGACTAAGAAAACAGTACCCTCAATGTGAGAACACGTTTTATGAGAAGGTTAAACTTAGTCATAGCAGATAAATGACTACACCTCGGCTCTGCTATTTGTAGACAAACTCAGCAAATCTGTGCCTGTAGCTAACAAAATAATACATAATAACAAATAATAATAATACTACAATCAGACCTGTTATAGCGCTTTTCAGGAAAACTCAAAGCGCTTTTTGTTGACAGAGAATAAAAAAAAAAATCAAAAACCAATCAACAAAACAGACAAATCGGGAGGGGGTCAGTGGTTGAATGCAGTGTGAACAGGTGGGTTAGTTGATGATGTTCTTGAATGCCTGTGGGGAGGAAGAATCTCTGTGGCATTGGGATAGTGAGTTCCAGAGGGTGGGGAAGAAGAAGGCTCTGCCGCCCAAGACTGAGATACAACAACAAATACATCTAGTACTAACTACAACCATAAAAAAAGAAATTATCACATGTTTTATTCATGTGAAGACAGGGACCTGTCTGGCCAACAAAGTTCATGTGTCATGTGTGCGGTTAAAGAATTAATAATTAAAGTACAACGGTATTAGTCATGGGTCCTTAAGAGAAACTCACCTATGAGTCATGATTACGTATAAAGTAACAAACAAATAACAATGTGCCCAAAGTTCTTTTCATGTTATTTCATGTTAAAAGCTCCACTTATGATTTAGAGTAGTAGCTGGGATTGTAACCACTAACCTTCCATGCTAACAAGCAGCGTTGACATACTGTAATTAATACATTGAGCTGTTCCAATGAAAACTATCCAGGCTTTGCTGTTCACTGTGCCAGCAGCCATGGTCCAGTACTGGCCCAACACAGCCATGGTTTCGCGGCTCCAGAACGGCCCCAGCGAGCTCATGAGTTTCTGGCTTCAAGTACACGGCCCCTATAGCATGGTCCCGACTCCGGTTTTTTTGGCTCCAGTACATGGACTCACCAGCTCCCTGGTGTCTGTCGGACATTACTGGCCGACTCCAGCCCCTCGTGCTGTGGCTCTCCGGCCGACGCCAGCTCCCGTGTTCCTGTCGCTGTACCGCCGTCCTCAAGTCTCGCCTCTCAAGTCCCTCTCGAAGTCCCCTCTCGATCCCCTCTCGAGTCCCTTTCCAGTCCCTTGCTCAAGTCCCCTCTTCAAGTCCCGCTTTCCAAGTCCCCTCTCGAGTCCCCTTCTCGAGGAACTCCTTTCGAGTCACCTCTCGAGTCCCCTCTCCATCCCATCTCGAGATCCACTCTCCAGTCCCTTCTCTGTCCCTTCTTTAGTTCCCCTACTCAAGTCACCGTGCTCGCCAGATTCCTGCCAACACCAGATCCTTCCTGTTGGGGGTCCCGCCAAACACTGTGCTACGCCGAGTCCTGACCGACACCAAACCCGGTGCTCCTCCGGTCCACTGACACCGGCCAATGTTCCGTCTCAGGGGTCTCCATCTACGCCTGTCCCGCCAGGGGTTACCCACCAGGTCCTGCTCTCGCGATCCCAGTGCTCCGGCAACAGCTGACACTGGAGGGTCCCATTGCGCGACGTTGTCCTTCCGTAGCATATCCCGTCCACCGCCTTTCAATGCCCGTCCTCCGGGAGCGCTGCCTGTCGCGCGCCTCTTGTCCATTGTGCCGCCTCCTGAGTTCACCTCTGCGGGCTTTCGCCCTCCTCGGGGGGAGCCGGCGGGCCCCCTGAGTTCCGCTGCGGACTTTGCGCCCTCCGTCGGCGCCCGGGGCGCCCTGAGTTCCCAGTCGCGGTCCTTTGCCCTCGACCCTGGCCCCCAGACTCTTCTCCAGCCGCTGCCATCCCGCTCCATGCCCGGCCCCCTGAGTTCGCCCGCGTGCCTTTGCCCCTTTTTGAACTCCTGCCTTGCCCCGGGCCGGTCCCGCCCGAGACCCCCATCATGAACTTTCTGCTTGCCCCGGGCCGTCCGCCCGGAGAATCCCTCCATGAACTAACGCCTTTCCTGGACTGTCGATCCAGACACGTCCCTCCGACCCCACTCCACCCATCCAGTTGGAAATGTTTGACTTTGTGTAGGGACGTCTGCAATCTGTCCCTTGAGGGGGGGGGGGTTATGTCAGGGTTTGAGTTTTGTATGTCTAGTTTTGGGTTTATTTTGCTGTTCTGTTCTCCCTGTCTCATGTTTTCCTCCTTGTTTCTTGTCTTGTCCTTCTCCCTGTGTTTTCCTTCCTGTCGTTAGTTTCCCTGGTGTGTCTGATTGTCTAATTGTGTTCACCTTTTGCCCTTGTGTTTCTACCTCACCTGTCCAGCTGTTTCTTGTCCCATGATTACCCCTCTCTGTGTTTAGTCTTGTCTTTCCCTGTGTTCCCCTGTCGGTTCATTGTTTGTTTTTCCTGTTTCCCTTCATGTTGGTCACGATCGTTTTTTGGTATGTTATCTTCCTCGTGTTACTATCCTTGCCATGTTTTTTGCTGATCGGCTTTTTTAAATAAAGCTCTCTTTTTGTTTATAGACCTTTTACCTTTTTGTAGTCTGCTTTTGGGTCCTACCTTTCCCGAATCGTAACAGCTGCATTTGAACTAGGAAACTAGGTAAATCTTCAAAGTAGTAATAATAAATAGAATGCTAAATCTAATGTTCCTATTACTGATTTCAAAGGAAAAACAACAATAAAGCGCATACGGCTGTGTATATCTATACTTTATATAATCTATAATGGACTTTTGTTTATTCTTTAATTTTTCAAATGTATTCATTTAATATGGGTGACATCTGGGCGAGAGTTGAATAGTTAAATATTTACTTTTATGATCAAATATAAGTATTTGGTATGCTTAAAGTTAAAAATGTAAATCCTACTTACTATAATGAAAGAAAAGTATATACAAAGCTTTTGGATTTTAAATGTCATACAACATTTCTGCATACAATTCATGTGTGTATACATTACAAATATGGAAAAGGTATTAATGAAATATGTGTTTATTGCATGCCATGCCTGCCTGTGAACACCTAGTCCAAATTTGGTGACATTATTATTATTTCCAGAGATACATGCTAATGTTCAATATTATAGTTCTTTTAAACAACAATCCTCTCAACTAGAAATATGTAAGCAACGGCCAAACGTGGTTTTGCTTTGTTCTGCATCGCAAGGGGTATCCCAACTTTTAGGGGCCTCCTTGGCTCTACAATGCCACCTATAAAAAAAAAAGATTTTCCTAACAGAAAATCCAACTAGTTACATCATAATGTGTGATTATGCTCTTTTTGCATTGACCTGTTGTCAGCTGCAGAGTCACTTACTAATGTTTAGGACAGGGCTTCTTATTTTACCAGCCAATGGACTGGAGGCGGTGGGCCAACACCCTCTACAAATCCCGGCCACACAGCACTATACGCCATTTTGAGTGTGGCAACACGCCTCCTGGACCTTTTAAACCGTTCGCTAAGCACGGTACAGGAAGCAGCATGAAACACTCACAACAGATAAACCTCTCCAATGTATTTAATGTCATTATTTCCCCACTGCTATTGGATGGTTGTGGAACTTCCACGCGTTGGTCGTGCATTGCCTCCAGAATCTCCTGCCTCACCTATCATGGAGGACACAGGACAGCTGCTCCTATGCGTCATATTACGTATCGCTGTGACGTTGCTACCGGCGAGATGTTACTTAAGCAACTTTTATAACTCACCGCTCAGAAGTCATAGGATCTCGAGAAAACTCACCGTGAGAATTAAGGTACAGTTTAGACAAATCTTTCTTACAAAAAAGTCACAGAATTGTTATTATTGCATGTAGCCTACGTTGCTCACAAAGTAACAGCATGCTAGTTTGCTGATTAAGATTGTAAACTTTTTTAACCTTATTGTAACCAAGGATCTATTATACTCAACCATCTATTTTAAGTCTTGCATGAAGTGATATTAATGCAATAATATTAATTAATACTCAAACAGAAAGTGTGTTTATGAACCAATTAAACTCACTATAGGCTACTGTTCAGAGCTAATTAAGGACATTAAATATTATATTATGTTCTGACAATCTGGTTTTCTCTCACCTGGGAACTCAACCTACTTGAAATGTGCTTTCATTTTGAAATATAATACCATTTTAATAAATATTTCATCTTGTTTCCACTTTATTCAGAAAACAAATGGCTCTCAGAGGTGCTGTCACCCGTCTGCTTTACAACAGCCAGAAATGTGCTGCTGTTGCTGCTTCCAGAGCCCAGGGCACAGCTGCAACAGCAATCAAAGGTACAATTATTATCATAGTTATTTTAATATATGTATATTATATTTATATATATAAGTTTAGAGTGATTGTTTTGAGACACATATCAAACTTCTTCACCTTTGTCCAAAATGAAAAGAAACTCACAGGAAGGGAAAACAGTTAAACAGTACGTTTTTAAATGTCTCTAAGGTAAGCACATTTTCATTTTCCTTCCTTTTTAGATGTTGAAGAAATCAAAAAGCCGGCGAAAGCACGTGAGTGAAGTTCTTTTTTAAAAGTCCATCCTGAACTAGATTACTTCACACAATCTGTTGTCACATGACACAGTGACATAACCAGTGTGTTTATGTGTATGACCGACCCTCAGCCAAGGTGGCGTTTGACTGGCGGGACGCTCTGAATATTGAGAGTCAGCTTACAGAGGAGGAGATCATGATCCGAGACACCTTCCGTGATTACTGCCAGGAAAAGCTCATGCCCCGCATCGTCATGGCCAACAGACATGAACGTAAGCAAAGCATACAGAGGAATTTTGTTTTGTTTTTTTACTCAATTTTCGAGTTGCAACTGTTAGAATATCTAAGTTGTGCAAAAAGTGTTTGGTTTCTGATTTAATATTTGACTGTCAGTTTTTATTTTCCCAACATGCTACAGATTTCCACCGTGAAATTGTCTCAGAGATGGGAGAGTTGGGCGTCTTAGGCCCAACTATTAAAGGTAAAATGAAACAAAGCCTCACCTTCACAATTTCGTACTACGGAATAAAAGAATTACTGAAACAAATGTTTAAATAACAATATCTTCCAAACATGTTTAAACTTGTAAAATATGCACCTACATTGTTATAAAACTCAACACCAATAATAGTTTTGTCCTCAGAAATGTTAAGTGTGCAAGTATACAACAATTATAATACTATTATTATACATTATATTGTGTCATGTTACTTGACACTGATTTCATGTATTCAAGCACAACATAAATGAATAATGTAAGATGTTATTACAACATCAATCAGTACATTTAATTACAATATTGGGTTTTATTATTTTTACTAAATCTTTAGGTCTTTTTAAAATTAAAGGAAATTATTTCACCATTGTGTGCTTCAAGGTCTTTATATTTGTTTTCTATATGTTTGTATAAGAATTACTCATAGCTCATTACTTGGTGTTTTATTCACCCTGCAGGGTACGGCTGTGCAGGAACGAGTTATGTGGCGTATGGCTTGATAGCCAGAGAGGTGGAGAGAGTGGACAGCGCGTATCGATCGGTCATGAGTGTCCAGTCTTCCCTGGTCATGCACCCGATCTATGCTTACGGCACGGACGCCCAGAAGGAGAAGTACCTGCCCCGACTTGGTGAGAAACAAATGTTCTGCATTTGGTATGCTTGAATAAAAGGCAAAAGGACGTACTTACGATCGTGCCTCATGTTTTTATTTTCCTTGCAGCTCGTGGAGAAATCCTTGGATGCTTTGGCTTGACAGAGCCCAACCACGGCAGTGATCCCAGCAGCATGGAGACCAAGGCCAAATACAACCCCTCCAGTGGTACCTTCAGCGTCAGCGGAGCCAAGACCTGGTGGGTAGTCACATACAAGGAGCGTTGGCTTTCTTGAGTGCTATCTCAAAGCAGAATGGGAGAAATTGAAGATACAGAGTTGTTTAGAGACCAACAATGTGAAAATAACTTATACTATATGCTAGTATGTATGAAATCTTAACAAATGCTGTAAATCACACTTGTGGGTTAGCTTGTTATTTGAGGTCCAAAACGTTCAATTAAACTTTGGTCCATTCCAAGCGTCAAGCCCTTTGTGAAATACTTACATATACAGTCATGCAGTTCATGTTTTTCTCGTTCTTCACTCTTCTCTATCTGCTAGGATTACAAACTCCCCCGAGGCAGACATCGCAGTTGTGTGGGCCAAGTGTGAAGATGACAAGATTCGGGGTTTCATTCTGGAGCGTGGAATGAAGGGTTTTGCCACCCCCAAGATTGAAGGAAAGTTCTCGCTGAGGGCGTCTGCAACCGGCATGATCCTGATGGATGAGGTGGAGGTTCCCCAGGAGAACCTGCTGCCAAATGTCTCCGGTCTGGCTGTAAGTGGCTGCTCTCTTAGTCCAAGTTCTCTTACATCTTTGAGATCAAGTGCTGTGTCTTAAAATCTAACATTTATTTGGTTATTGACCTTTGTGATCAGGGTCCCTTTGGCTGTCTGAACAACGCTCGGTACGGCATTGCATGGGGAGCTCTGGGAGCTGCTGAATTCTGCTTCCACGCTGCCCGACAGTACACTCTGGACAGGTACATGACCTTCTGTTAACAGTTTTTGTGTTCAGTTAAGGTAAAGGGATAGTTTGGATTGTTTATAGTCTGGTTGTATGAGGTCCTTATCTATAGTTGGTGTATTACCAGTCCTGCTTTATAGGGGTCAGCCGGAAAACTTGATTTAGCCACCTTCAAAAATCAATATCAGTTGATTTGTGTACGCCCGTATTTGAAATATCTTCACCATTATGTGTAATCGGTTGCCATTGTTGAATACAAACATTAAGAGTTTTAAAGTTACACAACACAAACAAAGTAAACCAAACGAAAGGGCAGTCTGATGACAAGGTTAACCAGTGAAAATGTTACAAATAAAGTTGACAACTGATACTATTTCAAGCAAGGTTTTTTACGAGGCTAAAATATGTTTTGCTGCTGCCCCTGTCCAGAGCAGTACATTGTACTCCCGACTTTAGATAAGAACCTCATTCTGCAACACTACAAATAATCACAACTATCCCTTTAAAGCCAAACGACCTAACAGACATAATAAAGTCCAACCTCAGGGAAAAAGTTTAAACATTACCATACTGTGTTTGAATCCAGTTCCCCTTCTGTTATGCCAGCCTCGTCTTTTTTTGTAATGGATTCGTTTTCATATCTTTCTTTCCTCCAATCAGAATCCAGTTCGGGGTGCCACTGGCCAGGAACCAGCTGATGCAGAAGAAAATGGCTGACATGCTGACAGAGATCACCATTGGGCTGCAGTCATGTCTGACCCTGGGAAGACTTATTGATGACAAGAAGTGAGTCTTCTCTTACTATCATTACATTGTTAGCGTCTTTTCTAGCTATGTCAGCGGTTGATGCTGTCTTCTAGAAAAAAAAAGTTTGTTTTAATATGTGTTCTTATCCTAATAGAGCGGCACCAGATATGATCTCCATGCTGAAGAGGAATAGCTGTGGCAAGGCTTTGGATATTGCCAGACAAGCCAGAGACATGCTTGGAGGAAACGGCATCTCAGATGAGTACCACATAATCCGTCACGTCATGAACCTGGAAGCAGTCAACACATACGAGGGTAAGCACACACCCAGATACATCTAGTATGCATTTTTTAAATACCGACATCACATAAGTCATTATTGTAGTGAAAAAGATGTGAAACGTAGCTGCAATTATTTACCTCAACCACCAGAGGTCAGCAGTGCAGAGATTATGAGAGGTTGATTAAGAAATGCACTTTTTAGAACACTGTCCAATAATAAAACAAGTTTATACATAGCAAACTTTAAATAAAAAATTGATATTAAACGATCCTGTTGTAATTTGGCAGAACTATTATTCAAAACAATGTGTATTCTCTTATCTAAAGAGGACTGAGGAAAGTTTGGAGACTACTACTCACAAGAGAAGTATTTCCTCATCTATGTGAAAACCACTTGTTGATAAAGGTTTCTCATTGTTCTTTCTTTTATAGGAACTCATGACATTCATGCTTTGATCCTGGGCAGAGCCATCACTGGACTGCAGTCATTTTCTGTTGAAAAGTAAAATGTTGAAATGGAATGATCTGGATTTATACTGTGCTTCCTGTTTCTCATTTGGCAAACCCATATGAGTAAAACATGAAGTGCACTTAATCAGGCTTACATTTTAGCTACATCCTAAATACCTCATTACATTTGTTGTTTAAAAATAGTGATAGGATCTGTCCATCACTGCCTCTGTTTGGTTAATCTTTGGTGAATATGTTAGGTCAAACTAACTAAGCATTTGGTCCAAACTGTGAGGATAAGTGTACAGTTAATATGTCTGAAATATATTTTAGGCAGTGATTAATCCTTGTGCATGTCAAGTTGCAGCAATATGAGTTTTTGTGGCAATTAAATATGTAAATAAATCAGTAAGGTGTGACTGTAGCTGTGATTCAGAATGTAAAAATATCTTAATACAGACCTCTGCTCAATTGATAATTGTGTTCGGCCGTCATTTTACATTATCATGTTAGTAATTGTATGACTAAAGATCACACTATCTTAGCTGACTTATTTAAGATATGGTGCAAACTGTCAACATCTAAGAACAAAATATTGTGGTTTATTCCGATTGTATACTTTTTTAATTGACTCAAAATTCTGAAATTGAACATACATAAACATGGGTTCAGCTTTTGTTTTAGTCTTCTTTGAATGCACACATAAAAAGCAATACAATGTTTACCTGGGCATGTTTGATTAAGAAGCCATGTATGAACTGCACACCAGAAATAGGTAGACATTCACATTAGATGTTTGTGGTACTGAAAATGTAAATAATTGCAATTAATAATAATGTTCTATAAGCAAAGACACAATGTACCGTGTATTCATGGAAAATAGGAAGAAAAATGAATAATCTTTTTTTCGCCAGCATTTGCAAGGCAACTTTTCAGAATACTCAACATAGTAAACCAAAGAGCACATGAACAAACTCAGAACAATTTCACAAATAATGCGGACATCGGAACAATTACTAGTTTTTAGGGCTCTGATGTCTGGCTAATAGCCAAGACCCCTCTGAGACCTGTCAGTGCATGACTGGCCTCCAGGAGCTCACTGTTGAGCTTAGTGCAGCTCTCCAGCACCTCTGACAACTCCAGCAACTTCAGCTGCATCTCATTGCTGTTCTCTTCATACACCGTGAACAAGTGCTCCTTCATCTGCTGACACATCTCTGTCACCTAGGAGATTAAATGTAAGGGAAAAAATTAAATAGAACAGCTGTGGGCAGAGTAAAGGCACTCATTCATAATTTGCCCTTTACATTCAAGCATAACGTGTATTCAGGGCCAAAGTGAAGTTCACAAAAGAGTATTTTTTAAGTTTGTATAAAGATGTAGACTAAATTATGATAAAAAATACCTTCGCGACTAACTTGTCCTGGAAGCTGTCCATCACTTTCTGGTCACTAGTGCGGCTGTTGTTAATCTTTTCCACCAGTTCCTGAACTCTCCTGCTGATGTCAGTTACTTTCGAGCTGAGAAAGATATTGAGAACAGAGAATTCATCACCCGCCTAGAGCAAGTGGACCAAACTGCTACACGAAATATCACTTGAAGTTGATGCAATGGACTGTACTAAACCTGCTATTCTGCTCTTGAATATCAGTCATGCTCAGGCTTGAGGACTTTCCTCTTGGTGACTCGTTGTCTGTGTCTTCTGTCTGTATCACCCAGGACAATGAAAAAATTACAATTATTCTATGTATTATTACAAGGTGGCTTGTTTACAGTATTTACTGTACAATAATGGTTTCATAGATCACCTAACAGTCCACATCAAATCATTTTAAAATATATTGACGAACATTTTTTACTTATGGAAAACTTAAGCAGTTGGGACTATTTAAAAAAAAAACGTTGTGACTCCTGGGCCTTTAGATAAATGTGATAATCGGTTACCATTAGGGAATCTTCATGTCCGCTTTTGGGAGTGGACTGTGAGGTGGATGGTAGGTCGTCAAAGTAAAAATCCATGTTGGTTTGTTTGACTCAGCAAATCTAAAATAAACAAAACAAAACACACCTGCTAAACATACACAAATAGTGTTGGTAACAAAAATAACCTAGTATTCTGTGCAATGTAACGTTAGTAAAAGAGGATGGCTCAAGTCTAATGAACTACAGCTAACGTTAGCTAACTCACTCCTTTAGCTTAAGCATTCCCCTCTAGGCTGTTAAGTGTAATATTACCTTCACGAATACAAACCACATTATGAATATAGTTATATTAATATGATGTTACAAACTTTGCTTATAATATACTTGTCAGAAGACCGGTGCTGTTTGTGTGACGTATAAGCTTAACTAACTATCTGCACTTTTAGCTGCCACCGCTAAATGCTAATGTACTGTCCCGCTAACGTTTATCCCCTGGATTCGTTTTTATGTTTATGTTGTCAAATACATATTGAAACTAAAAATAGTAAGATACAAATATATATAATACATTTATAAAGCTACAGTTTGAAAGGAGGAGATGGTCTCACCTTGTTAGCAGAGGTAGAAAGTAGCAACAGCACACTGTAAAAAGAATTTACTACATAAAGATGTAAAAAACTTTAATATTAGGAGGTTAGGATTAGGTATGAAGGTATTAGGTGCAGTGCCAAAGAAAATGGAAACAAGTAGGCTAGGCCATACCTAAACATTGTCAGGTCAGATATTTTCCACCATAGACTGTAGCTTTCCACCCAGTTCCACCAATTTGTTCACCAATTTAAGTAAACACTCTTCAGTTAAAATATGGACAGAAAACCGTATTTATCATTAATCAGAGAGACCGTTGAGAGATTATCAGAAGTTATATAAAAAAGAGAATTCCGGAAATGGGGCATGATTTAATTTAAACCTTTCCAGTCAGGAAGTCAGAAGGATGTATATGACTTTAAAGAATTTAAAATGTCTTAGAAAGGATTTATTATTTACTTTTTCTTTAGTGTGTGTGTGTGTGTGTGTGTGTGTGTGTGTGTGTGTGTGTGTGTGTGTGTGTGTGTGTGTGTGTGTGTGTGTGTGTGTGTGTGGGGGCACTTAATCAGATTGTCGTGGATTTGGTAATCTGTGTGAGGGATGGGGATGGGATGAGAGACTGATTGATCGACTGTGATTGGAAGTGTAATCCCTGCTTCCTCTCTGTCTCCCTCTGTGTCACCGCCCACAGTGTGGATTATCTCAGTTGAGAGGAGGACACGCACACAGCACAGAGGCACAAACCCTGCCAACAATGTCCTGATGTCTGGTGTGGAGGGACAAACTGATGGAAACAACATGATATTACTCCTTAAAATCCTCTGGATGTTGGTGAAATGACAAGCAAAAATCCATATGTGACTAATATGGAATCTGTAAAAACGTTGACAGGTGGGTAAATGTATTCACTGGTCTATTTCTATTCTTTGTTATTATATGTTGCTTTATATTTGAATCAAATATATTTATTTTATTTTTAAGTAATAGTGTTTGACTCTGCCTCTGCATTTTAGGGAGTGACACCTGGGCAAGTGGATGAGTCAAATTGGGAACCTTTCCGCTTTGCACGTGATGAATAAACTACTTTTGTAGGAGAACTGGTATCTTATACTGTGGGAATATGGCCAACTTAAACCACACAGAAGAAGGACTTTCATTTCAGTATTTGGTTCAAAATATGAAGCCCCTGTACACTGAGTACAAGCCTCCTTCCAGGGACGTCATCCAGCTACCGAAGTCTGTCCTCTACCTCCTGGTCGCAGCACTGGTCATAGTTGCTGTGGCTTATGCCATCGTTGGTCATCTCATCAAGGACCTCATGCTGGATATAACAGGTACTCATTTCTATAAGTGGAGCTGACTCGTTTTAAACTAACATTAGTTGGATAAAAGAACTCTTGTTGATCTAATTAACAGTAAGTCATCTTGTGCTGTTTGTCCTCCTGATACATTTATACGGCTTACAATCTAGTATCAAACTGTATAAATAAATTCATGCTTAATGAAGCCAGTGATGGCAAAACTAAACCTTTTGCTTTTTGAACTTTGAGTTGCTCCACCATGTATTACAGCTTGAGTCTCAACTCACCTGTTTTTCTAGTATAAAGACAGGATCAGAAAATGTCTGAGACATCTGTTCTCCTAACTTGGCTCAATTAGCTAGTATCAGGGATTACCTGAACATTCAATCCAAAACTCTCGGTTCAATTGTTAGTTGCACATATTTTTTTCAAAGCTTGGGGTTATAAGTGTATATCTTTAAAGAAGAAATTCCACACATCATCCAGTAAAGGTTCCTGACGTAGCATACAGCTATACGGTCTTTAAAAAATATATGTCTGTGATAATTTAAAGGCTCAAATAAGACCAAATTAACTTTTGTCTCTTGAGTACTTTGAGTACTTGCTCTGTGCTATCTTAACAATACAGTGAGGACAGTTTTGTAAGGATGTTGGAAGAGGTTATTATGTAATATTATTCTGAATCCTTTCTTTCTTTCTGTCCACAGATTGTTTGCTGGGCCCAGTCGAAGATGACATAAAAAAAGACGGAGAAGGGGAGGGGTATAACAGCCCTCTGCACCTACCACCTTCCCTTAACCACTCCCACCCGAATGCCTTCCACGTGTGGGACACGGATGACGTCATCATCCCCATGTCTGCCCCAAATGAGAGCCCGTTGTCCCCATCTCTAATGGCCGTTATCCCTTACATGCCTTCTTTTTTCCCCAACTCCTTCAGCAACGTCAACAGCCCGCCGTGCAATCACCAAATCCCAAAGGAGAGTGATGCGTGAGGCAGCACGAAGGATCCAGAGACGGTTTTCAGACAATCTTAGCTCCATGTTTCACCTCGGAAACACAAAGGAAATAAGTAACTGGGAAGTGCACATGAAAATCAATGATTGTCACAAATCTAATAACATCATATGGCCGGCAGAGACTTGCAAACTATGCATTGAGACTTTTCCTGAATGGATTTCTTTCTGTCGGACTAACTGATGATGTGTCTATTTAAGACAAAAGACAAACAGAACAGTTTTTCAGGATCAGAGCCAGGGACAGTCAGTGGGATTGCTTTCACTTTTCTCGTGGATTTGTGCCAAGTCAGCATTGTGACTATTAACCTTCTCCTAACAGACACGTCTTACACCTGTTTGTATGTTTGTAGAGTTTCTACTATTGACAAACTTCAGATGGAGTTAAGTTGAGCTTGTGACTGTATTCAAGATAAAACAATCCTCATTTATAATGAATTTATATTTGGCCATGAACAGGGGGTTTGTCTTTAGTGAAAGAGCCGAAATCACGTCTTAAAGTTGCGTTATATATTTTTGGAATATCCTGTCTTATACTGTATATACCCAAAGAGACATGATGAAGAGAGCACATTACAGGAGAGCCAAGTGAGCTGCTGTGTGTCAAATAAAGCTGAGTACTAAGATAAGATCACTTGTGCGTCAATCTTATTCTGACACTTAATATATTTCTGGCCCAGGAGGATCGGATACTCCCTAATAGGCTGTAGTTCAGTTAGTGGAGGTGAGTGTGGTAATATGACTGTGTGAGGCCATTTAAGGATAGGCACAGTAAGCAAAAGATTCATTCAATATAAAAAGGAAGATTTTTTA